AAGCCTCCTGAGTGCAAGGGTGACCCGTTTGCTCGCCTCCACGCACAACCGCCGATCCAGGCTGTGGGAAGGTTTCCAGGCAGGTTCGGGATCAGCATTCTAGTGTTATCTGGTGCCGCCGTCCCAGGTCGCAGATCATGGCAATGTCGCGCAGCATCCTTCTGCTAACGCTCAGCGCCACCACCGTCCTAGCCTGCGAGAACGGTGTGGTCTGGGATCCGGATGATCAGGCGCCTTGGCCTTGCTGACATGCAATCAGCGTTGCGGAGGTCACCGCTTGTCCGAGCTGAGGCGGCGTTTCAAGCAACCTTGATGGGAGGGTCAATCGGAGGCATCGTACTGGCACTCCTCATGATTATTGTGGCGTCCTTGCCACTTTGCTGTGGTGTGATGAAGCAATTTGGCAAGGCGGGCTGGGTGATGTAGGAAGGTGCTGTCAGCATTCTAGTTGAATTCACTGCGAAGACAAATGTCAAGGTCTTGGCCGCTTTCGCCATCATCCTGGGTCTCGTTTCCTTGGTGATCCCATTCCTCGCCAACATGGGAGCATGTGGCCCTTTTGCGGAGCAGGTGTGCGAGGATATCGAAATGTGCCCGGGCTATACGTGCGACAAGGAGGGTATGGAAGCTGCGTGCAACATTGTGGCGTTCTTTGTGGTATACATTGGCGCCTTCGGATGGGCAGCGTGCGTGTTGGGCATTGTGGCTTCCAGCCTCGGATGCTGCGTGTGCTGCGGATGCTGCAAAGCCAATATGAACGATGGCCCCAAGCCTGCTGCCGGTCCAACGGTGGTGGTCGGAGCTGTTCAACAGGCCGGGCTTTGAATCAGACGTTTGATGTCTCGAAGTTCTGCAACTTGCAAGGCCGCTTGATCATGGAGTCCTCCGAGGCAGGTCAAACGCCGGGCTCCAAGCGATGCTAGATGCATTCATTCCAAGCAGCCATAGGTGCATGATGAATGGCCGTCCCAGCAGAGGTCTGACGAGCGTGGTACACGAAGAGATGCTAGCACCTACAGACCGTGCCTGCCAGTTTAGTGGCAAATGTGGTAACCTTGCTTCAGTTTTGTCTCACAGCTCTTGTTGATGGCACGCCACCGCTGGTAGCTAATCGTTCAGCTGCGAGATTCTCCACTG